GAGATTCTGTGTAATTTTAATTTTTTCCAAACTAGAAGAAATAACTTTTAATAGAAGTCACATATCAGGTATAATAGAGAGATCTGCTTCTTCGTATAAGGCCATAGTCCTATCAGTTATGGGTCTCACCCCTATAACTTCACCTAATATTAATTACCTCCTAAAGATCCTGTCTCCTGATACAGTCACATTGGAGGTTAGAATTTCAACATATGAGCTTTGGGGGGACACAATTCAGCCCACAGCTTTCTGCCTGAATTCCAGGGCCCTGACTCAAATGTCAGTCTTATTCAGAATCACGCTCACAGGCACGTCCACAATAATGTTTGGCCAAATATCTGGGCACCTTGTGGTCCAGTCAGACTGACACATAAAATTAACTCTCACGTTCTCTCACCAGGGTCCATATTCTGCCAGCATCTGTGAAGCCAGAGGCTTCACTGTTAGCTGGAAATTAGGGTACGGTCTCAGATCCTTCACAGTTCTTAGTGACCCTACCAATTTTATGACTTGTAATAAAAAAGGAACTGTAAGTATTTATTGTGTGTTTCCTTTGTGGTTTTAAAAGATGAACAAGGTTGGGAAGTATTGCAAAAACCCTTATAAAAGTAATATTTTGTGTTTTCTTTAAGATGTCCTAGCTTTTCCAAAATTTTTCATTGAAAATGACAGCCCTATTTTGGAGAATGTCTCTGAACATACTCGGGTGGCCATAATCACCGTGTCTGTCTCACCTCCCGCCTCTCTGATTGGAGATCCAGTTATCATTAATGCCGACCCTGCAGTCCATCCATTTGTGCTGTCTCGTCGATCCACACATCAGTGGGATGTAAGTATCTAGGCAAACAGTACTGTCACTTGGTACCACAAGGGGTCCAAAATGAAGCTATCATCCCTGTCCTTCTTACCTTCTACTGCATATTGTTTAGCACCCACTCATTGGTACCCCAGTATGTGCCAGACCCTTTAAAAGTTCTTGAGGACATCAAGATGCATTTACTGTAGAGACCTATTGAGGACCTCCTCAGATACAGGGCAACGAACTTGGGCTCTCTTGGTGGAACTCGGTCCTTACCCTCATGGTGCTTACTGGTTCATAGGGAGATCTACTCATCAAGTGAATATTCACCAAGTATAAAAGCGTAAGTGTAATAAGAAAGACAGGCCCACGGGTCTGTGAACGCACCTAAAGGGGACATTGGACCTCTGAGGCTTCCCTGAGGAAGAGCTACATGAGAAGCACTCTTCAGAATGAACAGGAGTTAAATAGATAAGGGGGAGAGAGAGAGAGAAGAGAGCTCCAGGTAGAGCACGTGCAAAGGCCCTGTGGCAAGGAGTATAGTGAGGAGATGGGACCAAGAGGAGGCCAAAGTGGCAGGAGCTGATGGGAAGTGTGCTGAGAGGTTAGATGAAAACGAGTGGGGAGGCAGAGGCCACAGGGCCCACGGGCCATGTTCGGAAGTTCTGATTACTATCCAGTAAAATCAAGCTAATTTCTTCCTCCGGAGTAAAATTCAGGCAGGCATACTGCTCATTTGAGAAGATTCAGGTTTCCTAAGCTCAGGGCTCCTCAAATATGCTGAAGGCCACTGCGTGGGCAGCTTCCACCTGAGCCCCTTGGCATCCTCCCGTGGGACCTGGGAGCAAGGGGGCCACATGAGCATGAAGCTCGTGCTGCCTGCTGAGCTCTGAGTAATAAAGTCCTTAGGAGCAACGTGTGATTTCCAGCAAAGGGTCTTATGTAGGGGAATCGCAACTGGCTCCTGGTGGTAAGAGCTTCTCACACTGGTAGGGTGGGCAGATACCTAAATGACCAGTCGTGGTGCATCAACAGATGCAGCATGGAAGTGGTTAAGAGCCAGGGACTCTGGAGCCAACCATCTGTGTTCAGATCCTGTTTTGTATTTATTGCTTTGGGCAAATGATGTAACCTCTCTGTTCTGGTCATGTGTCCATGCCTGGGGTAGAGATCTACATACTGCTTTTAGTGGGGGGACTGCAAAGTCATATGGCAAAGGACATGTTCTAAGGAAGGCTAAAGGACTGGGGACATTCAGCCCACCACCCACATCTAAGAAACCATTGGAGAGTTTGTGGAAAAAAGAAGTGATTTCCTTACATTTTATGGGGACCACTTTAGCTGCTGTGAGGAGCACAGACCATAGAGGGCAGAATATGTCTTTAGGAGGTTACTGGGTATCCTCGCCAAACCTTGGGATTGTCAGATTTTAAATTTGCTTCCAAGTACAAAATGCTACTTGTGCATTTATTAGATTTTTAAAATGAGTCTAAACAGCAGAATGGCAGCAAAGAGTGTTCAATAGTTAAGCTTAAGCTTATTGATTTTTTTTTTTTTTTTAGTTTAGCTTTGTTTTTTTCCTGTGAGGCAGTAAATCATAGCTGTTCTAGAGCAGGTTTTGGGGTCTGACAAACCTAGGATTAAACCACAGCTCCTGCAACTAGTAGCAAGGTGACCTTCCATCAGTTACTTGACTTTTTTACGCTTTGGTTTTCTTTTCTGTACAAAGAGATTAATAATAATAATAATAATAATAATACTTTACTTAGGGCTTGGTAAGAAGGTCCTGTGAGATGATGTATGCCAAGTGACCTCCCAGCGCTTGGCCCACGACAAAGTCACATTATAGTAACTGCATCACAGACCAGCTCTAGAGAGCTTTAGAAACAGTTCAGTTATGACAGAGACCTATCATGGAAATAAATCTGCAGATAAAGGCAGAACTAAATGAGTTGGTATTTGTCTCTACAGCATTCCGGGATAAAAGGCCTACACTGTTCTATTTGAGGTTTAGCATATTACCCTTGTTGAACTTCCTTCCTTTCAGGATATAGGCTTGTTCGGTTTGCAAAAGACTGAGCTTAGGAGGGGTGACTAGGAAGGCAGTCAAAGAAAATTAAAAATTGCCCAGATCAAACTAGTCTCCTGGAGAAGCAACAGCAGGGCTTGAAGTGAACCGATTGTACAGATAAATCAAAATCTCATGAAAATGAGTCAAGGTGGTTCCACTTATGTAATCTTCACATCGCTACCTGTCACTGAGCAGCATAAACGGCTTCACTGGGGAGATGGAAGAGGAATGCAGGGCACCCTGCGTGCGAGCATGTTTCCCGATGGGGGTAATCAACCAGGGGGGCACTTCAGCCACCTTCCTGCCTTCTCCCATTGCAAAGAATAAGCAGTTGAGTTTTTAAAAGTTCAGTAAGTGTTTGTTGAGAAGCCTGAAATTGTATAGTGTGCCAGGGAGCCAAGAGGCTCCCGTGCTGCCCCCGAGGGGCTCCCAGGGCAAAGAGAACCACAGCAAGAGGGCTCCCCCGAGCCTGGGGCTGTGCTGCCCGGGCAAGAAAATCCTTGAGAACAGAATGTGCCTAATTACAGCTCAAAAATCCCACATATCTTCAAATCAGGCTATAGTATTCAATTAGCTCATCAAAAGCTTCAGGGTGTGATGAAAAGAAACAAAGATTTCAGAGTCAGGAAGGCCTGGCTTTAAACCTCAGCTCTGCCACTTACTAGCTGTTTACTTGGGCTTCTAGCTACTGAGCCTCAGCCTCCTCATTGGTGCATGAGGGTGATAATAGCATTTGCTCTGTGAATCAAAGGATAGCGTCTGTTCTGTGTTAAGTGTCCCGCGAAGGAGAGCCGTCAAATATGCACATATTACTGCCCTCTCATGGCAGTGGGAGGGTAACGCTCAGGTGGTACTTTCAGTCATAGTGCTGGTCAGTGCAAGGGTCCTGGGGCCGACAGGCCGGGGTCAGGTCCAGGTCTTCCTCTTCCTGCAGCAGGACTTTCCCTGCAAACTTCAGTTGCCTCATCTGTGAGACGTGGTAATAACAGTATCTCCCTCACAGTTTTATTTTTTTCATGTTTAAGTGAGATGAAGAACTGATGGCAATGCCTGGCTCCCTTCCCATCCATTTTTAGGTGCGAGGCAGTTTAGGTTTGTGATTAAGAGCATGCACTTGAGGTCAGATGGAGTCAGAGCTGTTGCATTTCTCTGAAAACTTGGCTGAGTTGCCCTGGCTGGTTTAGCTCAGTGGTTAGAGAGTCAGACTGTGGGCCGAAGGGCGCTGGTTTGATTCCGGCCGAGGGCATGTACCCCTGTTGCAGGCTCGATGCCTGGCCCTGGTCGGGGCGCATGCAGGAGGCAACCAATCGATGTACATCAATGTCTCTCTCTCCCTCTCCCTTCCACTCTCTCCTAAAAGCAATGGAAAAAATACCCTTGGGTGAGGATTTAAAACCCCCCAAAAAAGCAAGAAACTTGGCCAAGCTGCCTGACCCCTTCACCCTCAATTTCTGCATCTGTAAAGTGCATCCAGTAACAGTACAATTAACAAAGGATAGAATGGCATGTTTGTTGATGCGCGATAATCTCTGACAAATCTGGGTTGGGAGAGGGACTGAGTGAGGCCTGTCATTAGGAAGGATGACACGGGAAGGCTGGAGGCTGAAAGGGAGAGAGCACGTGGCAATTCTCTGCTCATGGAGGTTTGCGATAAGAAACCCGGTCCTATCGGGGATTACAGGCCCTTAAGAAGCCCGTCACTGGCTCCACGGTCTGCCCTTCTCTGTTTCATTTAGTTATTGACCACTGGCGTCCCCAGGCTGGACTTCGAGACGGTGGCCCTCTACTCCTTGGTAATCTATGCCAAGGATAGCCGAGGGGCAGCCGCGGCCCTGACCGCCTTGGTCCAGGTCGCCGACGTGAACGAGCCGCCTGCCTTCAGTGGAGCCCTGGCCCGCAGGGACCGAGGTAGGTGCTCTTGGGGGGCAGCGGCTGCCTGGGGGGGGCTGTGTGTCCCAGTCCTGTGCGCCCCACAGTGTCAGGGCCAGAGGAGGGATGAGGGGAGCGATGGTAACAAGCTGAGGATGAGGGCCAAGCCCCTCTGCTCACCCTGCAGCGGGCCCGCGGGAGCACCGCTGGCCACACTCCTGCTTGGAGGCGAGGCCACAGACTTAGAAAGTAAAATAACCCGCTCAGCGTGAAAAAAATTATTTGCTGTTTGATTATTATATACGAAAGTTACTCTTTTATTTGCGTGATTGTTTAATTAACAGCAAGCCTATGTCATTAAGTTGGAAGCTTTGGAGGGCAGGGCCATGCCCTTTTTACGTGTGCCCTCCCTCCCTTCCTCTCCCTCTTTCCCAATCTCTCTCTCTCTCTCTCCCTCCCTCTTTCTCTCTCCCTCTCTCCCTCTCTCCCTCTTTCCCTTTCTCCGCCCTCTCTCCCTCTCCCTCTCTCTCTCCCTCTCCCTCCCCTTCCTCTCTCCCTGACTTTCACCTCATGTGAACCTTTCTCTCACTCTCTGTCTTTCTCATCTGACTCTCTGCATAGTCAAGTATTGAAGACCTGCATGTGAATGATTCATGTTCTCTATTGAAAACAAGCACTTGAGGTTAGATGTTGGGGTGGCCACAAACTGGAGAGAGTTACTAATCCTGCCTGAGCCTCAGTTTCCTCATTGGTACATGGAGGCCTTAACCCCTACTTTTGAAGCTCGCCTGAGACAATGTGTTAACATGGCAACCACAGTGCCGAGCACGCAGTAGGTGCTGAATAAATGTTAGTCGTCTTCCATTCCTTCCCCCAGCAGATGATAAACACCCCAAGGACAGATTCAAGGTGAAATTGTGTGCTTTGGACTCCTAAAACCATGAGCCTGGTGCCAGGTTGCTTGTGGACCCTCCGTGAGCATTTGTTTACCGGATGGCCAGGCTGACGTCTTGGTTGTGGCCAGGCTGACGTCCTAACAGGCCTGTGGACTCCTTTGCTGTCCACAAATCCTGCCCCCTAGCTAAACAGTGCGACAGGGGCTCCAGGGGTGGGTTAGCCTCTCAGTGCCCCAGTGTCCCTGATCCCCGAAGAGTTGTTTGACCAGTAAATTGGCAAGTTTGTGGTCCCCACTGTTTTAGAAACGGATAGAAAGAGGGCAAATTTGAGGAAAAGACAGACATTGATAAAATCATCAGACAACATTAATGTATTACTTGTGTGACCTCGAGTCACTCAATCTTTCTAAACCTCAGTAAAATGGAAATAATAACATACCAATGACATCAAGTGCTCAGCAATCAGGAAATGTTCAGTGCTGTTCTTGTTTACATTTATAAATCTCTTTGCTCTTCACCTGACGTGTAATAGATACTTGACAAATGGTGTCTATTTTTATTATTATGGCTGTGATTATTATGATTAATGGGAGTCACCCTATAAAAACGTCCATACTGAGCAAGCACAGTGCCTTAAGTTTTATCTAAAATCCAAAAGTCGATGAGGGGCTTTGGGGCTTATAACATCTATCATACATTTTCTGGCAGTTACTGAGATTTATATCCTGGAAGACACTGCCCCAGGCACAGTCATTTACAGAGCCTCGGCCAAGGATCCAGAGGATGCCATTTTGGAGGTAATTTACGGTCCAGGGTAGAGCGTATCGGTGGCTGGTAGTTTTATGTATGACGGCATTCACATATAAAGCTATGGGGATAATCGGTGCATTCATTATGCCACAATTCAGGTTCCAAACATTCCTCTTGCCTCAAGCATCAGGACACTTCAGGTGAAAATGATTGAGGGCTGGGCTGTCTGGGTAATTGCTTCCCTTCTAGTGCATTCCACCCATGCAGGCAGGCCCAGTGAATCCTTAGGTATTGACAGAAGATGCCAAGCCACTTCATCTTGTTCTTGGGGACTTCGGCTACACACACACTGATGAGAAACAATACAGCTTTCTGGTAGAATTAACTTGTATTTCACAATGCTGGGTCTCATCCTCAGGCTGTGTAATGCTCCAGGAATGAAGTAATTTTCAGGACAGGTATCTTCCAGTTATAGACACCATGGGAGGGGAGGAAACTATGGACTCTGTGCCAGGAGGCTTGGGTTTAAATTCTTGCAAACTGTACTGCTGCAGGTCATTTAACATTCCGCCTTTCTGTTCCAGCTGTAAAACTGGGGAAAGGATATCTGCTTTGCCTTTTCTCCTATTGCTTTCTCTCATATTATAATGAACTTGAAAGTCATTTTTTAAACTATAAAATATCTTACAAATGACAAAATTTATATTACTCTCTTAATTTTTGATGCTGTATAAAATGGTTTAAGGCATTTTTAAGCTATAACATTTTTAGCTAATGGACTGATAGACAAGAATATCACGTTTTTAATTCTTAATGTTGTATCACTTTCCCAAATTGGCTAGAAATTAGAGAGTTGTACATGTTGAGCTATACTTTCAACATTTACAATTTACTGATAATGCTACTAGGTTATCGTTTGAGGCAACCTGACTCTTACAAAATTTTATTTAAACAAAGAGATGGCCATTAATATTTGGGGCATTGCCCACACAGTTTTTTAAAAGCACTAAATATACTCAAGTAATTACACACACAAAAACACTGCTGTTGTCAACGTCCCCACCCCATCTGTCTCATCCTCACAGTGGAACAATGCCACATCCAGGATGGGACTCGAAAGGTCACAGCTTCCTTTACAACGGGCAATTAAGTCTCCTAATCATGCACATTGGTCCAAATCAACATGCTCAAGATTACAGCGCTGAATCCAACACTGAGCAACTCCAGCCATAAGAGAATCCGCTGTCATATTGTAACTGCTTCCTTGGTGTTCTCCACGGCAGCTCACCCACCATGCTGACATTCTAGGGTGGAAAGCACAGCACAGTCTCATAGGGGTTAGCTGTGCTTCTAACATGCAATTACAATGACTTACTAGTCAATTAATGCAAGTTATTTAGTTTCAAATGAAGGACTAGCAATTGCTTGTTCATATAGATTAAACGCTCTGGCCCTGGCTCTATATTTTTCTCAGAAGAGAACTGGTTCCTGGACTATGTTTGGAAGCCTAGTGCAGTGTTTTTTGCGGATTTTACCAAACATGGAATGACATTTTAGTGTTGACATAGGCTGTGGAAATTTATATTTAGACACAATAGATCAGACCAGATGTGTTGTTCAAGTCCTCATGACTGGGCAACAATTTTCAATTGTTTGTCTTCATATTGACTCAGAGAAAAACTTGTTTTAATCTGAGGAAGAGCTCACCACCATTTTGGAGCTCGATGTATAACAATAATAATGCAGTTAATAACTGTTAAGTATTTATCATGGGACAGGCAAATACTTTATATAATTGAATCCTCACTTAATTCCTGAAGTAGATACTATTGTCTACTCTGATATTAATGAATGAATGGATCAATAAGGTAGAGTATTATGTCTTTAATATATAAATGAGGATCAGTTAGGCTAATAGAGATCAAGTAATTTATCTAAAGAGTAAGTGGTCCAGTTGTGGTTCAAACCCATGTCCATTTTTCTCTAAAGTCTATATGTTTCCTATCGTACCAATAATTCCCAAATTGCTTCCACAAAACACAAGTGCTACCAGATGCTCCAAAAGATCCTGTGATCAAATGATTTTGAGAAATAATGTCTCCATATCTCCTCTAAATGAAAAATACACAACATGTTAAATGCCCTGAGGAGTTCTATAATAGAGACATGTTAATTTAATTATATTTTAAAAATTATTTTTGCATTGCACTTTAAAAATATATTCTTATCGCTATTTAGAGAGAGAGGAAAGGAGAGGGAGAGAGAAAGAGAAACATAGATGTGTGAGTGGAACATCCATTGGCTGACTCCTACATGCCCCCCCACTGGGGATCAAGCCTGCAACCCAGCCATGTGCCCTGACCAGGAATCAAACCTCGATGGGAATTGAACCAGCAACTTTTTGGTGCACAGGATGATGGCCTACCAGCTGAGTTGCACCAGCCAGGGCTTCCATAGCCCTTTTTTCTAAAAATATATATATATATATATATTCATATCTTTATTGATTTCAGAGAGAGGAAGGGAGGAGAGAGAGAGATAAAAACATCAATGATGAGAGTCATTGATTGGCTGCCTCCTACATGCCCCTGACTGGGGATCGAGCCTGCAACCCGGGCATGTGCCCTGACCAGGAATCAAACCTAGATCTCCTGGATCCTACGCCTGTGTTCAACCGCTGAGCCATGCCTGGCCCGGCACTTTTTAAAAAAATCCTCACCTGGCCCAGCCAGGCTTGGCTCAGCGGTTGAGCATCGACCTAGGGTCCAGGTGATCAGGGTTCGATTCCCGGCCAGGGCACATGCCCGGGTTGCGGGCTGCAGCCGATCAATGACTCTCTCATCATTGATGTTTCTATCTCTCTCTCCCTCTCCCTTCCTCTCTCTGAAATCAATAAAGATATATTAAAAAAAAAAATTAAATTAAAAAATAAATAAATAAATAAATAAAATAAATAAATAAAATCCTCACCTGAGGAGTGAGAATATTTTTCCATTGACTTTTAGACAGAGTGGAAGGAAGGGGGGAGGGGGAAAGAGAGAGAGGAGAGAAAGAAACATTGATGTGAGAGAGACACATCGATCAGTTGCCTCCCACACCTGCCTGGACTGGAAGCAGGGATCGAACCTGCAACCCAAGTATGTGCTCTTGACTGGGAATCAAACCCATGACCCTCTGGGTTTGGCCAATGCTCTAACCACTGAACAACAGCCTTCCATAGCTGGCCAGGGCCTTCCCTAGCTCTTTTAAATAAAAATTAACACCTGTTAACATTTTACGTAATGACTAACTAGCATTCCACAGAATAGAAAGATTATATTAAATCTCATTGGAAGATTGATATAATGTGACATATCCCTGGGATTGTTATAATGATGAAAGAGGAACGTTCAGGTTAGGATCTGGCCCATAGAAATTTATATAATAAGACTGGATTTCATCCATATATAGACTCACCTAAGTTCCAGGATTAAGACTTTTCATGCTGCACCACCATTGATACAACACATATTTTAAGATCCCTGACATTCTAGTTAGGGGGTGTTCTGAGATATAGAAAAAGTGGCACTACTCAGCATGAACAAACTAAAAATCAATTACCTTTCTTGGACATAACAGGGCAAACCAGCACTCCAAAATCTCGAGTGATGGTTGAATCCAAAGAGTCACAGAATATTCTGCTTACTTGAAGCAGAAACTGCTAGATCCATAAACTTGTATGAAGACTTACATGGTAATTTTTATGAATTGCTGGAGACTGAGTATGGACTATTACGAGAGAGAGAAACTTCTGGGTGCCACAGTCTCAGGAGGACTTGTGCTTTCATAGGTTTTTACCACCAAGAACTACATTAGGTTCTCACAGTGAAGATCCAGAAAAAATCACCTTGTGTTTCTGAATGAGAGCAGAGAAAAGATTAATGGTATAGTAAACCCCAGAGCCTTTTCCATAACAAAGGCCTACTCTTCAGGGAAAAAGAGTTTTTTTGAGCCTTATCTCACCTGGGATATACACACACAAACACACAGACACCCCTAGACAAATCATATTCAAGGTTTAGAACTTCCCCCCACAAAAAATCTTAAGAGAAGTCATAGGGAAAAACACACCTTACCTATAGAGGAACAAGGATAAGAAATACAGCAGACTTGTCAACAGAAGCCATGCAAGCAAAAAGATAGTGGAATAAAATACTGAAAGTGTTGAAAGAAAAAAAAATCAACTAAGAATTCTATATCCATTGAAATTATCCTTCAAAAGCAAAAGAGAAATGAAGGCTTTCTCAGACAAGCAAAAACTGAAGAAATTTATTACTAGCATACCTGACTTGATAAAGAAAGTTTATCAGCAAGAAGGAAAATCATATAGGTTAGAAACTCAAATCTACATAAAGAAAGAAAGAGCAGGAGAGGGGAAATAAATAAAGGTAAAACAATATTTTTATTTTTAATTTATATAAAAGATAACTTTAATAGTAACAATATGTTAGAAGATTATAGCATATTGATAAATGAAATGAATGATAGCTATGTCATAAGTGACAGGAGAGAGGGATTGGAAATATTCTGTTATAAGATTCCTATACTATGCATAAAGCAACATTGTTTTATTCAAAGCTACACTTAGATTAATTAAAAATGTATATTGGAAAAATGTATATTGGAAACTCTGAGGCAAAAACTAAAAAATTTTTAAAATAAGTAAAATGGATATGCTAAAAGTGGAGATAAAAATGGAATCATATAAAATAATCAGTTAAAACAAAGATTAGAAAACAGTTACAAACATGGTAGATATTAATTCAGCTAATACAAATGGTTTATATGCACCAATTCAAAGACAAAGACTGTCAGACTGGATTAAAAAAGGGCCCAGATATATTTTATCTGCAAAAAAATTACTTTAAATATAAAAACTTAAAAAGGTTCAAAGTAAATGGATGGAGAAAGATATACTCTGATAACATCATCCAAGAAAAGCTGGAGTAGCTATATTAATTTCAAGCAAAAAGTGGAGAGTGGTCAGCTAGGGAATGCCCCAAACAGG